CAGGATTAGGACATATCGGTCAGCGTACCTAATAACCATTAATATGGTCTGTCCCGAAGTTCTCGTTCAGCTGTAACGCCCTTTCGGTGCCTAGCTGTCATGCCACACGAAAGTTGGACAAGGGCTGGGATACTGCCAGGGTGCCCATGCCTAGACAGGGGAAGTCGAGAGGCAGAGCGGATCGGGTTCAAACCACGGACCTTTTGTTCAGTAAATTCGCGCCCTAACCACCAAGCCATCTCTCCCTGAGATGCCCACCCATGCAAATAACGTTTTCCTCTATGACTGAGTTTGTTGGTAATGGCTTTCATATTTTGCCGACGCGATATGCCCCGGACCATCTCCACTGCCTGATTTGCTGTGCGAAAACGATCTGTGTGAAGCAGATGGAACACCTGACCATACCAGCAAGGCTCATGAATTCTCATCTCAGCTCGTCTGTCAGTTCTTTCTCTTGAAAACCGATAGACGGACTTGGAATCTACTATTCGGGTGTTTCCATTGAATACCGGCAATGACAGCACGGTTCGTAGTGATAGTGTCTGGAAGAGAAGCTCAAGTTAGGGGTCTTTTGCAATGCAAGGATTTGATTCGGGATCTTATGGGTTTTCAGCTTTTTTAGGAGGCTTCTAAGTGGTTTTTAAAGGTGTCACTGGGTTGATTTGTGTCTCAAGCCTACATTGCCTTCTATTGCAATTCTCCGAAACATGTGTTTTCTCGCTGTATGCTTTTGTGGACTATAGGAGGCTCGTGTTTTTCTTCGGGGGTCATCGTACTCGGGAAAAAATAGTTGACTGTCTCGGGTGTTGTGTGTTGACTTTCCAAGATACGGGAAATTCTGATTGAGGATGTCTTTTCCGGTCTCATGGGACTACCCCTAATCTCACAAAAAAGAAGAAAGCTAGGAATTGACCTATCATAGGTGGCCGCGGCCAACAGAACGCTTTTATTGAACTTCCTGAAGGGCAGCTTCCCTTAAAATGGTCTCTTGAAGGGAACATTCAAGGTTAACGTAAATTCGGGGACTGTCTCAAGATAGGGGAAAACGGTCGCGGCTGTCAAAGCGTTTTCAGCAACCTTATGGGTAGTGTATTGCTTCTTGGCATTTTACTGGTTTCTACTCACATTAGTATCCCTGACAAACTAGGTGCCTCGATTACTGATTGATCGTAATCCGCCTGTCTTGTCCCAAGCCATGCACTGTCCATGAGCTGAAATCACACTGCTGCCTGTAAAGATCAAGTGCCTCCTGGAGCACAGAGAGCTAAGGTGACCACAAAGAGAATCGGTTCTCAGAACAGTGCCATCTGCCCGCCCTATCAGGAAACTATATACCCCGCCTGCGCCAACTTTTCGTACCAAAGAAACGGGGAACCTAATCTGCTGTAGTTGAGGGATATGCTCCTTTGGGTGCAACGGTAAATCAGTACCGTTAGATCCGTTCATACTTCAGCTTTGTTCCTGAAATTCTCTTCCATACACTGATAGCTGGTGAAAAATCGACAGTCCGCCAGTGTCCGTTATGATCACGTGGTTTTACGTGAGGATCAATGGCTACCCAGGTTGAATATTCTGGCTCTTCACTATTAGTCAGACCATATGAACAAGGTAACTGCTGGTTACGACCCAGTTTCACACCTATTCAGATTTCATAGTCAGCAAGCGCATGGTACCCTTTTTTTTTTTCTCCGAGTCCCCTACGTCCACCTGATTAGCCTGCCGTGACGTGAAATTGCTTCTGTTGGTTGTGTTTTTCGAAATCCCAACTTTACTGACAGAGGAAACGTATTAATGTATGGAACTGTTTAGAAAGTTTTCATACGGGAAACTACTCACAAGGTTGCTGAAAACTCTTCGACCGCCCACAACCGGTTTCGCCCTTCTTGGGGCTCATCAGGTAGGCGCAGTCCCCGAGCTAAGGTAACCTCATTTACCACGTTTTGTTGCTTAAGCTTTTAAGGTGGAAGTCGCATTACTGATAAATTGTGATGCGAAAGGCGCTGGATTTAATTTTCATTCCGGTACACTCATGTCAAGATTACTTGTATTGCATTCCTTTACCCATCTAGCCAGTATGACTGGCTTGTGAGCTTCTTGACAAGAGAAAAGTGCGATTTTCATCAGTGCTCTTCAGAGGAGCCGGAGGGCACTGTATAACTTTCGGATAGACTCGTCGATTATGCTTTCTCTAATCTATACTATCACGGAATTCCAGGGGCATATTTTGAGGTTAGGCGGTTTGGTTGGTGCAGCTGTGTACCAAAATGTAAAGCGGTTCAACGGGACAACTTACCGATTGAGCTCGTGGTAGCTCAGTGGTTAAGGTGCCAGCATGCGGACCGGAAATCCTGCGGTTCGAACCCAACCTCAGCATCTCGACTGCTACTCTAGGCCTGGGCAACCTGGTAGTATCACAGCCCTCGCACTTCCTTCGTGTGGCATGTTAACTAGGCACCGAAAAGGTGTCATAACTGAACGATCTAATGTTTTTATTACCGGGACACGACTGTGTGAAGCCTTTACACCTTCAAAATGTCAACTGCGGGTTTGATCCCGCTACTGAAATGAACTCTTGCTGGAGAGGTGAGGAGTACTGTTTGCTCATTTCATCCTTCTGAGAGAATCACCAACACTGTGTGAATTTTCAAGGGATGTGCCAGGTCAAAAACTTCGCGATAGTATTTTAACGCGACAACCCAGCCACGAGTGCACTATCAACAGTTTTCCGTGTAGTTACACTTGGTGAATATTGTCACGAATCAGTCATTCAGTCCACACCACGTTATCTGGTGTCGATTCGATTCTCGCTAGTGTCAATGCCTCGCCTGTTCAGGTTGACATTTGAAAAACCCCAAGTTCGATTCCTTGTAGGTTGGTTTCTGACGCGAATCTTGCGAAAAGCGCATTGTGTTATAAAAGGATTCGTCGTCTTTTTTTTGTGTGGCAATTTGATTGCTGTTATTTACTACTGGCCAACGCCCCCCAGTGTCGGGATCGGTCGCGTGGAATAGGTGGCCAAATCAGGCCAGTATGTAGACCGCGTAACTTTTCTGCCGCTGTTGGAAAATGTTTCCATCGTTTTTCGTACTCCCTCGCTTCGACGCCTTTAGTCTGTTTTGTTATTTAGTGGATTTGTTGAGCTTTTCACAGCGTTCCAACACAACTGATCTTGGTATGTGCATGTCTAGGGAGTTTTGACACCTATTCTACCTAGACCTCTTCTTGAGGCAAACAGGGATTAGTGGTCTAGTCAAAGACGATGTTTCTCTCCGGATCGGGTAGACCAGAGTATCGTTTGTCAATCTGCGTCAATTGTGGCGCATGCGTGATATCATCTTGTCTGTTCACAATACTGTGGTAATATTCTATGGTATTTTTGTGTGAGTCAGAAACGGAGGCCATACACGCCCAGGACATTAAAACCTCAGTGTTTGACCGTCACTATTTTCGGAACATTGCCCGAGTGTGGTGCGAATACCGGATCAGTACTGTTTGTTTGCCGGTCGACCGAACTCTTCGAAGGGCCCACATGCACATAGAGGGTGGAGACGAGCCAGGGAAGATCCAGCAGTTACTTGACAGCGATATGTGAGTCATTACTAACAAAATCCCTTGCGTTGGTTAATGTCGTCACCCTGGATGGAGATCCAGAGACGGGACACATCAATAGTTAGCGACACAGACAAATGTCGATCAATGGCCCGAATGCATCCAAGCTGTTGCCTTCAGTGCATAGCTTCGCCTCCCAATCTCCCCACTCAAAAGTCCACTGTCAATCCTTGGTCCCCTTGGTCAATTTTATAAGCTACTGGCCTCAATAGCGCGACTAGTTACCCCCTATCTCCCCACCTCGTCGGCCAACGAAGTTGTAGCAGCCGTGGCCACTTGTGCGCAGTCCTATGGTTGATGGTGGTGGTGGTAGATATGCAAATGCACTTAGGTTTCAGTGGCGATGTGGGTATCCAAATCTGTGTCCTCGGTTGCTGTTCGTGTGTCACTCTCCTACCCCATACTGTGCACACAGATGCATGTATGCACGGCTGCATTTCACGTCTAGCACGGTCCTATCTGCCAAGGCCACACCTCCTTTGCTCACAACACGCCTAGAGTGGTCGGTCGTTATTTGGCCCATTTCACCTAGGACCTCTCTTGCCCCGATTCGAACCCCATGCTAACGCGGTTTGCCTTGGCTGCGCAGCCCTACAGGATGTGGACAGATTCAAGAGGATTTATCCCACCGGAAACCTGCGGGTGTACTAAACCAGACTACTAAGTCATCTTACTACCCCTTCACCCAATTGCAACTCCCCACCCCGTGGACAATGAGGACTTATTGAGACACATTAGTGTTATAATACGGTTTACGACTGCACTGAAATTCCCGTATTGACGTCAGTGTGGTGAGCCATCCCAGTTACGAGCCACACTTAGCCTTTTTCATCTCCAGATGTTCCGAGGTGTTCCATCATTTGTGTTGCCAGCTGCTCAGTGAACGCACCACTCGTGAGTGAGCTGGAGACATCAAGACTAAACTAACTTGAAACTACTCTTGCTTCACTCCGGGTTGCCATCCGAAGGATTTTGTAAACTCGCAGCAACACAGCTCACTGTTCTACGGAACATAGCATGCACAATCTGACGAAACTGTCAGCTATGGACGTCCTCTTCATTCGATGGTCAGCATCCAACGTGCCTGCTATCTACGTTTTAGGTGAAGTCCACATAGAACCGTGAATGCCAGTAGTCTGTATAATGTAGATTTCACCTTGTTATGCAATTCCACGTTTCCCTTTTGTGAAACCGATCATCGATTAGGTCACGAATGACTTTGGTGTCTCCCCCACCCCATGCTACCGAGGTGGCTCAACGGCGAGATCCCACCGGTTGGGTCTGAGTCACACGGAAATCACATTTTGAGTGTGT